CTGGTTTGTGCTGCCTGAAAGCTGTGGACTGGTTCTCTGGTTTGAATGCCTTACCAGCAGCTTCCATTTCCTTTTTTCTTGGCAGGCAAGTGCAAAGCTCTTATGTACTTTGCCCTTGAAAAATGTCATTTTCAAAATTTGGGGCCTGAGAGACAGCGCCAAAATGCTTACCATCAGCCTTACTTTTAAGTCATCTACCCACCAATTCTGCTTTCTGTTAGCCCGGTGTATTCAATGTTGCATTAGCCGTGGCGTGTCCCGTCAGGAGCTATGTGCATAATGCAAAAGATTTGACTTTTTGAAAGGTCAGTCTCTGCATGTATGAGGCTCCCGGCTGTGTTCACTGCGAGCCTTGGAAAGATATTTCGGTGTGGGGTGTGTTGGTTGGTTTGATGTTTTTAAAGCAAGTCCGCACAATCTCACATTATAAATGCTGGTGTAGTGGGGAGAGGGGCAAAGGAGAACTCCTTATGGAGAAGTTGTATAGAACCACACTGCCTTCCCACCATGGCTGTGGGTTTCCATCCTTGCCTAAAGGGAATAGGTAGAAAGCAAACCCTGAAAAAGTAAGTGTGAGGGGAAAAAAAAACAAAACAAAACAAAAAAAAAACCAGGAAGCTGTGCAGCAGTCTCTGGTTTACCGGAGAACTGTATAAACCATTTTTGTGGATGAAAACCCTCTGAACTTCCCATCTGAAAACGGGGACGGGACCAACAACCACTCCCTACTGAGCAGATGACTGGAAGTGTGAACAGCGAACCGCAGCCAGCAGTTACCTGTAAGTCATGCTAGGAGATTTGAGCCCTGCGCTGCTGCTGGAACTGCTTTGCATCACCCTCCCGTTCTGGGACAAGAGATCATCTTAGCACTGTGTAATCCTCTTTAGGTAGAGCTGAGTGAATTTCCTTGTAGCTGTCTCCTATGAGTAGATGGAGGTCTTTCACTCTTGGGAATGCTTGGATGCTCACTGCTGGGAGTCTGCCTCTTCCCTTGCCCTCTTTAATCCAGCCACGTGCCTGCATTACTGCATAAAGATTTGATGTATGGCCGTATGCGTTACTGTTCCTGCTTTCATTTCTGTTCAAGCTACGTCAGCCTTTCCAGAAAGGCATAGTTTCCCCATCTGGTAATCAGCTGTGGAGATGCAGTCGCAACTTCAGTTAACGCTAACTCTGATTTGTGTTTACTATGGGACTTTTGAATAACAATTCAACTTCAGTGATTCAAGACATGTAGTGGTTTTTGTTGTTTTGGTTGTATAAATGAGAGCTGATGAGGAGGAGTTCCCTAATTAAATGATCAGGCTTTAAGCGTAGTTTACTCCAACTTATACATTTAGTATGGAAACACAGTCCTTACATGTGCTCACGGTAGAGTTGATTTTTAAAAATAATAAATGGGCATGCATCCCACAAAATTCCAGTTCTGAGGTTATTTTTCATCCTGAAACAAATAAGAGTTTAAATCCGGTTTTGTGTTGAATTGGAAGCACAGGTTTTGAGGTGGTGTTCAGCTGGCTGCTTCTGAACAGCTGTAGCACCTCAGGCAAGCTGTCATTTTAGTCCTGCCACCTGCTGTCATCCTCCAAGCAGAGCTGCCTGCCGTGCTTCCTACTGCTGAGTGCAGTGGGTGACCCAGCGAGGAGGGTGAAAGGCAGCATGGGCGAGACTCCAAGAGGACAGCAACTCAACTATAATTCCTGGGAATCATTAATAATGTGGAGTAGGGGAGCCAACTAGTGTTGAATGTAGCAAAAACAAAACTGTCCTGCTTGGAACTGACAAATGAAAAAATTTCCTCTCCTGGCCCAGAAATAATTTTGACTTCTTTTTTTCTTTTTCAGTGCAGAAACCAAAGCAAATGGATGGATGTTATGTAGAACATAAAGTATCTGTTCCCAAACTGGATTAAGTAGTGGAAAGATAAGATAGAAATGCTCCTGGTGATATAGTGCACTTTGAGGAAAAAAAAGCGCCATTAAATTGCTGTGTGCTTTCTACTAATATTTAAACAGTAACAGTGCCCCTAATACCCCATCACATTTCCTATGTTTACAAAGTCAGTCTGTGGCTGTCCCACAGTGCTTACAGATAGACAGATAAATTGGTATTGGTGAATATTTTTGCTTTGTGTTTCAGTAGGATGAGATTACTGTCGCTGCACTGGAGCTTTAGCACCTTAGCGTGTCTGCTCTCCACAGCCTCCATATGGAAGAGTCCCCTCATGCTCCTTTTGCAGCCTTTCACTACAGTGAGCAATTCCAGCAGATCTGATGAGGACACGCGTGAAAGTCTTGATTGTCAAAGGCTTTTTCCATTTTGGCAATTAAGCTGTAAGTTCTTAAAAATCTAAACTTTATCCATGCTTCCTTTTTTTTTTTTTTTTGAGAAAAATCATAGTTTCAGCTTTCTCTGAGAGCCTGAAGAAATTTGTTTTCTGGAATCAAATTGTTACCCAGTGGTACATGAAGCCCACAGACTGCACCTTAACAGAGTAACTAAAAGACAAGGAGTAACTGAGTATCTGGTTTGCGTAGCAAGGCTCTGTCCTGTGCTAAAAAGCTACCAAATAAAAGGCACGTGCTCAGTTCCTGAAATGCTGTCAGTCTGGCAGCTCTGAATGCTTGTTCTCTGACTCTCCAACCATGGTAGAATTCTACCACTGTGGACTGGTACCTTGAGGGTATAAGAGGGAAAACCTTGGAAGACCCCAGTAGTAGCACAGGCAGAACCCACACCAGTCGTTTTTGCAGTATATGGCACTGTGGACCAAATGGGTTGCTGTACACTTGAGATTCTCTGTTAAAGGGGCAGCTGGCAGTGTCCTGCAGGACCTCCTTTTCTTCTGGGTTTCAAGCCTTCGGGGGGGGCCACAGCAGCTGATAGACCTGTTGGTGCTCAGTAAACAGTAACTGCTTTTGGCCATGTTCTTAACTTAGGCCAAGTCATTCAAACCTGCACTTTTCACTTTTAGCAAGTGAAAACCTGCATGTTAACTGACAACAAGTACTGGTAGATTTGTATACAGAGCTGGTTTGGTTTTGGTGGTTTTGGTTGTGTTTTGGTTTTTGTTTTTGTTTTTTTTTTAATAAGAATTTTAAGTTCTTTGTCTCTGCCTTGAATTGGGAAGGTATCAAAGAAAGTAAGTGCATTAAGTCCTTCTTGGCGTGTTGTAAAGATGCATCATCGAACAGTTTAGATGAAGAGATTTGAAGGGATGGTTGTTTGTTTTTGTTTTTAAGACTTCACCTAAGTAACAACATGTTTCGGCTCTTTGATTAGAGTCAAAACATCTTCAAAATGGTCAAAGAGCTTAACTGAAAGCAAAGCACGCAATTATGTACTTTCCACAATGAATTTTTAGAATATAGCCCCGCAAACAATGAAGAACTATATTTGGCACTTCTGTTAGCAAAGTTTAACAGTTTAACCAACTGTTTAGAAACCCCCAAACTTTCTGACCCTACATGCACAAATCATCATGGATAAGATAACTTCTATCTTCAGATCAATCTCACAGTCTTTACATTAATTTTATAGAAAAAATATTTTGGAAATAATTTTTTATTGTATATTGTAGTGAAAATAAGATACCATTATGTTCATATGTATACACACGCATACAAATAAAAGATTCACTGTATATACACTGAAATACCTCTTACTCAGTGTAACCAAGACTCTCCTCAGCTTGTACACAGCAAAGAGTGGAATACTTTTAAAACCTGCCCGATCCCAGCTGCCAGGCACCGCTGCGCTCAGCAGCACCAAAGCTCTCAGGGACCACAACCCAGCTGCACAGAAACGAGTCACAAGTTGGTGCCTACCCTGAGCCCAGGGCTTCTCTACCTTGTCCAGTTATGGTGATCACAAAGCCCTGGAGTAACAGGATGGCTCAGCCGTGCTGCTGTGGGGGCAGGAGGGAGCGGGCTGTGCTTCAGAAACTCTGGCCCGGCTGAGAGCCCTTGGATCACCCAGAAGAATGGGGCCTCTTGTCTCGAAACATCTGGACACGACAATACTCAGCAGCACCGTATTACTCTCTGCTGTCTTGTGTTATTTGGGCTTACAGTGGTTTATGTACGTGTTGCTTTGACAGATTTGTGGCTCTCATACCCAATCCCTGTCACTCAAGGCAAGAAGATACTACACAAGTGATCCAGTGAGGTCCTCCAGAACACATAGAAGAATTGCATTGAAACAGTCACTTGTTTAGCTAAGCTGCCTATAGACAAGTAAGTAATTCTCACTATCTTTTCACTCTAAAACGTATCAGATGGCTGTTGGCACATGTGGGCCGAGAACTAGAGTTCGTAAAAATAACAGATAACTTGGCCTTGTTTGCTCGCAGAAGCTGATGTGAGACTATTAGTGCCCTAACCCTGACAGTGGTGGTAATGCCTTAAACAAGAGACACTGGGTGACTGAACAGAGTCCCAACACACTTTGTAACAACAAAGTAAATAACTCTCTTTGTAACTTAAAGATAAAACTGCACTTCTGTTACCTCAGGAGATCCCCATCTCAATTCAGCTATTTTTAAATGCTTCATGCTGACCTTTCTTGTTTAAGGAATTCTACACTGACTTCCACAAAGCCAAGAATAATCTCATTTTTTCCCTTCCCCATAGGAAAGTGCTGCCATCCTAAATATGCGTGCACTTAAATACCACAGCCTGTTTTTGAAACAGAGTTCATGGTAGGCTATTGCCCAGTTCAGGAAAGATAATTCAAATATTACTTGGCTGAATTCAACATTGAGTAAACACTAAATATATTTTTAAAAAGGATGGGCACAAATGCCACTGTAGTATTTCATCATTAAACTATTCATCTTTCAAGATCAACAATTACATCTATTATGAAAATAAGCTGGCAGGGATACACACAACAAATAAATAATATGTATTAACTTATAAAATATCAGACAAATTGTCTACATACAAAAAAGTCAATGTTAGTCACTTAAGCTTCACAGAACACTTGTATGACAGAAGCCCTTTTGCGTCCCAGCTTGCGTGTCTCTCAGGAGCAGCTGGAGAAGCAACCACCTTGGTTTTAAAAACCCTGTACTGTGCTGCAGAAGTACTGCCCCATCTTGCTGAGGCGCCGTATGTGGTCACTGACAGGCAGTGGTGACACTTCTTGTTGGGGAGAGCCTTTAGGAGGCCTGCAGGCTCAGTGCTGAGTTCTGTTTTGCTAATGCCAGGTGACAAAATGTACATCAGGCATCTGTACAAAAGAGCAATTTTTCCAGTGAGGGTATGGTTGTGTTTATAATGGGAATGCTTTAAATAAATTCTAACATCATTCCAGTACACTAATTCTCCCCTACAAATCATTTGTGTGCTAATCAAATTTTTCTTTCCACTAGTGCTTTATGCCTGTGAAATTGCTACAGTAACCTCCAGTGAGGGGTAAATGCCAGACAGGGATTTTAAATGGGCATTTTATTTTGGTTGAGCATGTATCTTCTCTTACCTGAGGAGATTTATTTTTTTTTGCCTTGGTATACAAACTTTCACTCCCTGTTTCAGAGTTTAAGAAAAATGAACTTTCATAACCTCTGCCACTTCTGATCACCTCTTAAAAATGTCACTTTACACAGAAAAGCCAGAAGTAATTGAGATAAACAGACATCTGTACATTTTAGCCATTCATTTAGAAAACATCTGTATCCATCCATGCAATGTTAAGACTATAAGTAACTTTGCAGTTACATCTGAGCCCGTTGCTATGGCAACAAGGTAGTCTTTATCTCCCACATGTGTTCTACTGATTTCTTTTTTTCTTAAAGCAGCTTCCTGAAATGAAAAACAGAGAAGCAATGATTAGGTTAGTCTCTTTCAAACATTGGATTCGAGGCTTTATATGAGGCAGCCCGTACTACTTTCCAGCTGTGGAAAATTTAGATGCTGATCCTTTGCAAGATGAAAAAATGAACAACTGTCATGGAAGTATGTGAACTGCTGTTATTTTCAATTAAAAAAAAAAAAAAAAGTATAGTTGGTGATCCTGGAACACAAGATTTTTACTACTGTAGCTATTTTTAATAGGATCCCAAGGAATTGTACTACAGTATCTTTCAAACTAACACAGCTAGCTGCAATTTGCTGCTTGCTACAGTGAGAGTCCAGTTCATAGGAGTGTGTATGCTAATAATTAACTCCTTAATGACCTTTTTCATGGTTAAATTGCACCAAAGCATGCAGTTCAGCTTGGTTAATTATTTGGAATTGTAAGCTTTCTATTGTGGTAGGTGCCCACCATCCCAGACAGAATTGTGTTAGTGATCTGTTGGGTTTTGGTTAGTTGCCAAGTCTTGAGAACTCAAGATAAACTAACATGCTTCTAAAACTTAACGTTAAATAGAACACCACGCAGTAGTAACCACACTAGAAGAGTTAAGAAGGTTCTATCTGTGCTTTTAAGGACCTAAATAGATGTCAGTGCTTCTGCAACACCTATGAACTTTGGGATTCCTCTTCACTGCTTTTAACATACCTTGTGGGGTTATCTACTTTTGACAATGATTACGTTAAGGATTTTAAAAGGGTTGAATCTCTTCAGAAATGATGTTGAAATCTTAACCTCTAATGTTCCAGAATTTCTAGACCTTTCATATGAAAAATACAGTAATGCAGTAAAGGCCACATGAGAAAACATCAAAGGAATTAGTTATCCAGACAAGACATTTCACTCACATTTGATGCTGCCTAACAAACTCTGCAAATTGACGGTCTTTAGCGTAGAGCTCTATAATTCGAATTCTGTCCTGAATTTCCTAGAATACAAGAAACATAATTGTAAGTACATAATAGAAATTAGAATACCACCGAAAAAACTGATTTCTGGGGTTTTTTTTGGTAAATAACATGCCTATACTTTGCTATTTCAAGAAATAGAGCTTGAAATTGGGAACTCCAATACTAAAATTCTTCTTTGCGTTTTTTTTTTTTTTTTTTTAAGTGAAGCATGTCATTGGAGTCCAGCAATACTTTACTTTTAAATCAAAGCCAGGCTTTGGGTAGAGTGTGGCACTTCAACAGGCTTTAACAAAATCATTTATCTCTCATAGATACTGCCTAAAAGCCCAGTTACAGGCTGGATTCACACCTCTTACAGTTGCTTAAGGATTTGTGGTTAGTTCCTGGATATAAATCCCTTCTCTTTAGCCTTCTAGAGTAAAACCTGGATACGTGTATAGAGGAAAAAAGAAGGATGTGACCTAACTTACAGCTTATGGAAAGACCTGTAAAAAGGCTTGGAGGGTCCCAGTTTGCACTGTATATATACTCTTACATAAGGTAGTTGGCATTAAAAGCTAAAGGCTGCATTAAGCAATATAGAAAACCTCCCCAACGCCCATGAAGTTACTTTAGCAGTCAGCTCCTTTATCATGGGATGCTCATTATAGGCCAGAACACACCCATTCCTTTCTCTTCACCTAACAGCAAGCAGGAAAAGAAACCCTTTCTCTCCTCTTAAGGAGTCGCAGCAGCCATAGTTGAAACTTGCCTACCTAGAGCGTAGATGCTGGGGAAAGATTGGGCTCACCTCTTCGGTTACAAGTGTGGAATAAGCTTATTTGGTCATATGATTTTTTTCCATGCCATTATGAAAACAAGGTAATTTACCTCCTTAGTAAGCTCACTGTTTTCATAAATGTGCCTGATCTCTTCACTGCTGTAGTCTGTGGATGTCTCTGCACTGGTAGAACTGTAGGACGTTAGCTGAGGGTATCTCCGGTAATAATGGCTGTAGCCAGTCGTATCACTTTCATACATGGGGTTGTATTTAACTGCATTCTCAATGGATGAGAGGCTGTCACCCTGCCTGGGGGAGCAATAAACAAACTGTGAGCTTCTCTGCAGCCTGGGAGGGCGGCAGATAGATTTAGGAAGCCTGGCATTTGGAGGCACCTGTACATCCTGTTGCTTGTCAACTATGTGATATAAGACTTACGACAGGATTATCCTTATTGTAGCAGATGCATTTTAAAATATTAGATGGTGTCACTTACCCCTGTGAGTCCTCGGTGTCACTCTTTGTGTACTGGTCTCGAAGGGTCCTGGCCAAGAAGAAAATGACAGCAGATGCCACAAGAAGGAATCCTGCCACAGAAGCAATTGCAATACCCACAACCAGAGGCTCAGACACATATTCTTCACAGTGCTCCCCTCTGTACCACCAGTTCTCTCCCACACGACACCTGCAAAACAGAAACTCAGGGAAATTAAACACCAGCAAAAGCTGGTTAATGTAAATGTATTTAGCTTCCTTTTATGACGTGCCCTCAGTTAAGTCATCTCAGTAATAACACCTCAAGTTATGCCTTGACTTAACCTTGCACATGACACATCAAACCCTGTAAAGGCAGAAAGAAGTTGTCTTAATGATCTTGTAATGCAAATGCAAATGAAGGAGTGTTAAACAAGCCGAATGTTTATTGTCTAGTGAACTCCACCACGGTTGTTAAATAAATACATAAATGCCTAGAAACAAGTGTGTGTCCAAGAGTGTATCTTTGAAACAGTCACCCAAAACAGCATACAGTGTATCTATCTGCCTTGCTGTGGTTTTGAACATGAGAACTTCAGTGTTAATACTGACTTTAAATATACCAGTGAAAATAATATATTTGAATTATCTGTGTTCTGGAGTTTTTGCTATAAAAAGTCAAGGAAGTGTCAGGTATTATGACCACTCACATCAATGAACTGAATTAATAAGAAACATCAGTAAATTAAGTCTTCCAACATAAACATCTGAAATAGTTTCTTAATAAATACTGGCTGCAGCGTGCTTGAGTTCACATACTTACCTGCTTCTAATTAACACTATGATACAAATATGATAAGATTTATACTACATCTGTGATAGTATCCATTTTTATAGCTTTAAGAACATTTTCATTTCTCCTGTAAAATGCTAGGACTCTAAAATTTACTTTAGAGATGTTCTAGGTAGGCTTTTTTTGAAAAAAAATAACCAACACCTGAATCAACGTAAATAATAGCAAGAAGTCTACCTTTTTTCGCTAGGTATATTTTGTTTTTAAAATAGACTGTTACTTTGCTTGAAAAGGAAAAAATTAAGTGCAGTATAAGAGGGAACATGATTTGTCTATATCTTGTACTAAGTCTTTTCCATTACCTGTAAAATACAGAAATCCTGTTCAAATGCATCTGTATCTTTTGAAAAGTAAAAATTTGAACTGGGGGCCAGTGCTTTGGTCTTTTTATGAACCATCTTTTTATGAATCACAAATGATTTTTCCCAAATGGCCAATGATTTACTTTTATGACTTTTTCTTAACCAAGAGCACTTTAAAAAAATCTATTTATGCTGTATGAATATGCCTTTCAAATATGAATTTTTGTGATGGAATTTACTTTCTTATGTTTTATGACATCATCTAACACTTTGTTACTTGAGAAAACCTCTACAGAGAAATTCTGTCCCTGAAGGTAAACGAAGGTGATTTGAACAACTGAGTACATTCTATTGCTGCCATCTTTCCTAGTTTGTTTTATTTTCTGATGTTTCTATCCTATTAAAAAAAAATGTGTTGCTGTCTTATTTCCCATATATACGTAGGAAAACAAACTTCAGTATCGGGATCTCCACTCGGGAGCATAACATGAATGATAATCATTATCATCTCATTTGTTATGCATTATCCTAAGGAAATGTGTACAAATCTTGTTGAATGCTCCAACAGAGGAGAAAATGTGGGGGTTGTCATACAGGAAGCAGATACTTCAAGCAGCACGTACTTCAGAACAGATGACCTACCTGCAGATGGCCCCTTGCCCAGGGCTTATGTCGCACTTGCCGTCATTCAGGCAGAAGTTTGGCTGCAGGTCACAAATGCTGTTGCACGGCAGCCCCTCGATGCTGAGGTAGCCGGGGTTGCAGACGCACTCGGCTTCCCCGCTCCAGCGGTTCACCAGGCATTCCGAGAACTCATTGCAGGCCTGGAACTTGCAGGGATCTGCTTGCTCACCTGAGAACACGCAGAGCAGAAGATATTAACGATAGAGGAGAACCTTAACTGAGGCAAAGCGCTGGCTGCTGCCATGTTCTCTAATGGTCTCTTAGTTAAAATAATCCACAGAAATCTGGCATGCCTCTTTCCTGCATAAAAAAAGGTCCTGCTAAGGTGCACAAGCACTAGGAGGTGTTCCTGTCTGCGCAGTGCATGTCAGAGGTACGGCTAAGACCACCCAACAAGCCAATTGAAAAACCAAGTATAAAATGTTATTTTTCTTACTGGAATGTGCAGTACCTCAGATGTTCACTTGTCTGCTGGAACTATGTTTTGCAAATGAGTAAAACACAGCTGATCTCCAGGATTTTTCATTACAGAAAATCTAGGCAGCGTACACGGAAGGGCAAGAGGAATTCGGGCACTCAGCACCTACTGTGAGGTGATTTGCCTTTGTCTGCAAGGAACATAAGCTTGTAGCCGTTGTGGGGTCTCACTTGTATCAAGCTTAGAGGGCTGGCATACAGTTAAATGATCAATATCAGAAGACTTGTGATCCTAATTAGACCATCTTTATAAGAGAGCAACCTCAGAAGAAAAGGTACTATTTGCCAGCAGGTCAGCATTGTTATTTTTCTCTAACCTTAAAACAGGAAATATTTCTGAGTTGCTTCTATAGAAAACAACTGGCTAACTTGGACAGGGGAAAAAACTTCCTCCCTGTATCAGAGGAGTGAACTAAGAGAGCCTGTAACTTTTTAGTGCAACCAAGACCTTACCACAAGAGTGGGGCAGCAGCTGGTACCTGTGCAAAGGGCTACCTGCCAACTGGGGCAGTGATCCCAGGGACCACTGGTCTCCCCCTGACCAGCTTTCCCCCTCACTCCCCAGTGAAAGTGCAGTGGCATTATATGGAGTACTGCAGGAGCCAATTTTGTCCCCATATTTCTCTATGGGCCCCATATAGTTTGCTCAGTCCGGGTCCCACTTTGATTTTCATTTCTTTAGTCCCTTAACAGATTTTTATTTGTTTGTTTGTTTGAACTCTGTGAAATGCTGTCTCAGCCTGTGAGAAGCAGTGGGCAGTCTCCTCACCGCTGGGATTGATCCTTAGTAAGTTCTTAAAGCAGAAGTTGTTTTAACGCCCTTGCTCTAAACCGCATTTCCCTACCATCCTCACCTGATTCCACATCCAGGGAGTATTTATCGATGGCCAGGTTCATGGTGTGATATGCAGTGTTGCAGAAGTCTTCCAGGATCATGTACACAGCATTGGTGACGTTCCGAGGCACAGGTTTGGCAAATTTCATTCGACTGTTCACCACGATGCTGCCATTTCTGAAGTTTAGGATTTCCAGATTCTGGAAGCCCGTCAGGTTTGACTGAAGGTAGGGCACCAGCTGCAACACAAGGGACGCGACAGAAAAGCTGAATCTTTGACTCTCTTCTCAAGCCAGTTGCACTGGAGACAGCGGGAGTCTGAATTATCCAAATCCCATAGCAGGGGCATTAAAACTTCACCTAACTGAGGCCCATGCTGGCAGCCTGCCTGGAGTCCAAGTACTTCAGGCAGTTCTTAAGAGTATACCAATTTTCAGACAGTTTCCAAAAATCTACAATTCAGAAATAGAGTGCTCGGAACATACACAGTGCTCTCCCTTGATCTAAGTACCAGGCATACTTGTCATTTCACTACATGTTTCCTTCAAGCATGTCCCCCTTCTCTCTCTCTGCTTTGCTCCCTTCATCTCTCACAACAAAAGTGTTCATTTCAGTCAGGAGAGGGGGATTGCCTAGTTAAAATTTGACATTTGTTGCTGTAGAATTCCTGTGAGGCTTTGCTAGCCATCAGTCTAGGAACAGCCAACTTCCCTAAATGACCTCTCACTTAAAATGGGGTGAATGTGTTGCAGAAAAGTTATGTCATCACAGCTCCAATTTATTTATACTTCTCTCTCCCTATAAACTAAATACAGAGCAGTCTGGAAGCAAATAAGGGGAGTGTCATAGTGACTTCAGCTACACCACTACATTTATTGACACCAGCAGAGCATCTGGCCCATAGACCTAAAAAGTTACACTTTAGAGAGACTGCTGTCTGAATAAAACCCCCAAAACACACCCAAACAAGGGAGATTTAGATTGGATATTGGGAAAAATTTCTACACTGGACGGGTTGTCAAGCATTGGAACAGGATGCCCAGAGAAGTGGCTGAAGCACCATCCCAGGAGGTATTTAAAAGATGGGTAGACATAGTGCTTAGGGACGTGGTTTAGTGATGGCTTTTATCAGTGTTAGGTTGATGGTTGGATTAGATGATCTGAAAGGTCCCTTCCAACCTAGGCAATTCCATGATTCTATGATTTCTGGACAGAATTTTCCCATCAAGGGACACAAATAATATCTGTAAACACCAGTCTTGAATTGCTCTCTGGAAAAGAAAGCCGACAAACTACTATTTACCAACAATTTTTGTCTAGCCGATAAAGGACATTTAGGATAGAAGTGATTCTTACCAGCTCCAAGAATCGCTGCTCTAACGCTTTGTATTCAGGGGAGTTTTTATTAAACAGGTCCTCTGAAAACATCATGTTGGTCACCCGAAGACTGAAGAACACGACTAGAGCTCGTGACGGGATAGGAGTGCTATTGCGATTTTCATGTGTGGCCCAAGCCACACTGGCCATCTCTGTGGAGTGGACACGAGTTGTTAGCTCCACATGACTTTCAGTCATGGTCCTTCCCTCAGTCAGCTCAGGAGAAAAGTGGACAGTGCTCACACCATCCAGTTCCACTGAAACATCCAGGACTCTTGTCGTTTCATCTTCCAGCTTTGTTGAGGTAGTGACAGATGGTGATGCCGTGGATCCCACTGGAGGGAGATGGGATGGATGCTCAACAGTGCTCGTTGTTACGCTCACCGTTACATAAGAGTTCATAACAGTGCTGAAGCTCATGGAAACATCTGTGTCCTGGTCTGTACCACCCTGCACAGCAAAGCCCTCTAGAACAGTGGTCTGATCTATTACAGAAGGGACTGCAGTTGAAACTTGAGTGGCAGTTGGCATTGCTGATTGCACTGTCTGATCTAATGAGTTTTCTAGTGCTTTGTCAGTAGGCCAAACATCAGTTGGTCTCTTCACTGTTGATCCAGTAGTGTCTTGGCCTGCCAATGATGAATCTAGGGTTTGCTGCTCTTCTGTAGAAGCATCAGGCTTTATCATGAAAGGATCTGCAGTCAGAATAGTTTCCGAAGAGCTTGTGTCCAAGTGGCCTATTGTAGCAGCTTCAGTTACATCTGACTGCCCCACTGTGAATGGTTCTACCATTGTCCTGTCTTCATTTTGGTGTTCAACTGCTTCAGAAATGATGTTCTGACCTACAATGGACTCTTCAGGTTGCTGCATACTGACAGTCTCTGTAGATGTGAGGAAATTGTCTTCCACAGGCAGACCTGTATTGTGTGGTGAGACGGGGACCTCTTTAGTTGGCATGTCTATAGAGGAATGGTCCACTGAAGGCTCCAAAACCAATGATGGTTTAATAAAGGAAGAATCATACATGCCTGATACTCCTGTCTGTGTAGATGGTTCCACAGATGGTGGCTCTTCTGTAAGTAACAGAGGTACCTGCTGAGTTGTAGTCTCCGGAAAGACAAATGTTTCAGACTCATCAAGGAGATCATCTTTTATATTGGCCATACCTTCATTCTCATCTTTGGAAGGATCATCATCTAATTTATTCCTAGAGTTAAGAATATAGTCTAAGATCATGCCTTCAGGAATATCCTCAGTTCTGATTAGCAAAGACTCATTGTCATCTTCAAGCCAGCTATCAGGACCAGGATAGAAAACTGGTTCCAGTGTTGCTTCTTCCCAAGGCCAAATACTTGATTCCATTTCTTTTCCCGAACCATCAAAAGCTGAACCAGACCCATCATCATATATAATTCTGTCTCCAAGATATACATCAGTTTCATCTTCCAGAGGGTGTACTTCTAAGGGAAAAGGAATTTCTTCCACAGACTCTTGCAAAACAGAGTCTGTGTTGATACTGTCTGCATTGTTATCGCCTGCAGGACTATCCTGAATTTCTTCTTCTTTTTCACTAGATACTGTCTCTTTAATATCAGTTTCTATGACTGATGAAGAGGCCACTGTTGGTGCAGAAAGCAGAGGAACTGCATAATCATCTGTAGCTAGAGGTTCTTCAGGCACAAGGTGAGGAGGACTTGAAGGCAAAAGAAGGTCTTCAGATAGTCCAGTGTCTTCAAACACTAAAAGTTAAAATAAATTTTCAATTAGTTGTTGTTTATGATAAAAATTATCAAATGCCATTAATTTTATTGTCTGTAGATCTGTATTCAATAGTTTCCCATTAAATAACCTGGCCTTTATATGCCTACGTCAGAAGGACCCCTGTTGACCTCTCCCACTTTTCATTCAGGTATTCTATGGTCCAAGTCAAGACTACAGAGTAAGCAATAAATCAGTAATTGTGTGGCATACCCTTAAGCTAGTCAGTCTGCTTCAGAGATCAGTTACCTCTGTGTGGCATCACCTAAACATGCCCTATATGAAAACACTTCTGTGCAATTAAAGAAGTACCATGTGCGTACCATTTCCTGAAAGGATAAGCAGGCATTATTAGCTGTTACAAGCATTTTACCTTAGCATATTATTCTTGGATACACACACAGAGGAGAGGTTAAAACTATCAAGGAAAGATATGCAATTTTTTAGGCCTTTCTGAAAAGTTACTTTGGTGAACTATGCCTCTGGTGATTATCAGGAAGTGCTGGCATCCAAATTGTAGCTTCAGTCAATGGCGTTAACTTACCATCTAAAGAACTGGGGGCTGAAAGCCATTCCAGAGAGTCCACAGAATCCTGCCCTAATGCTGGTGCAGTGACCAAATGAGGAGTCCAATTCCCATCCTCTAAATTCAGCCCATCAGGCAAAGAAGTGGCATCAGCCTCTGAAGAGAGCGGAGCTTCAGGTGCCAAACTGGGCTCAAAGTCCAGATTTTCTGGTCCTGGCCGGATTTCATTGTCATTGGACTGTTCACTATCTGAAGCAGAATCTGGTTTGGTGAAATCAAAGGGCAAGGTATTGCTGACAGTTGATTCATCTGCGGAAGGCCGTTCAGCTAAAAAGGTGCTGTCCTGGAACATAAACCCACTATTAATATTTCCACCGTTACAGGGGAAGCATTGGCTGTCTGCATTGGGCTGAACTCATCAAGGGTGTCAGCAGCAGCCAACAGCAAAATCTGGTGCTCCTGCCTCTGTGAGAAAGCAATGCACGGCAGCAGGAGAGGCCAAACCAGGAGAAACCAGCAAATATATACCCTTTGCTGGTCATGTGCCATGTGCATGTAAAATGCACATCCTTGTGACATACGTTTCATGTCCAGTCATGTCCACTGAAACGGGAAAGAAGCCATTCAGGGTGTCTGGAGTGCAGCTGCAGTTATGGTATTAAGAGACTCACTGTCTATACCCACCCCACCTCCTCTCCTTTTCTTTACTGAAAAAATGGATCTGTCCGTTTGTAATTAAATCAAAGATAAACACGCACAGTACTGTCTGCCTTCCTAAAGTATGAAGATGTCTTAGCAGCTATTATTCATCAGCTACATAATAAATACAGTAATTATAAGACTATAGTTGCTATGATACGTAAAATTGAGTGTAGAAACTGAACTTGAATGCATGCATGCCCTCAGTTATTGCTGTCTTTTAGTATGTGGGTATGAGAACCCAGGAAGGAAGCAAAAACCATAATGTAAAGAAGAGCATTTAGAACCTGGAATAACTTTAGTCTCAAAGCTGAGATGCCTGTGCAGAGGAAAAAAGAAAAAAAAATAAATCTATCGGCAGTAATGATGAACAAGAAAAAGTATGCACAATAAATTTGCCAATTGTCTGAAACGTGAAAAAATAATTTGTTTTTAAATCTCCAATTTGCACACTGTTTACTCACTACTCCATACGCCCATAATTGTTTTCGTTTACAGTTAGAATACTTAGCACATTTAATCTTTGAATATTGATCTACTACCATGGTGTCTCATGAGGTAATTCTATTGGGAAAAACCAATGAAGAGATTAAGTTATTTGGGTCAAGGCTAGAAAAGCAAGCTGACTGCCTAAAGCTCAGAAATTAGTGCTTCACATCAATCCCTGCCCACATATCAATGCTGTGCCATAGGCTGAGATGGACAAAAAAAAAACCCTTGGGGTATGAAAAACTGCCAAACGATTTCAAGAAGCCGCAGTTTATGAAGAACTAACCAATTGCTGCTGATGACTAGCAAAGTTAAGTGGGCAGTGGATACAGGTTTCTGTAATACGTTATTACAGTTCAAAACCATATTAACCATTTCTGTAGCTCACCATTCCTGTCTAATCTCCTTCTTTTACCTGAACAGCATCAGTAACAGGAACAGTCCAAATATTTTTCAATTTGAGATGATACTCTTGGTTGAAACGTGAGTGAATTGAATTTTCAACTTCATTCAAACTGCATTTGAATGCTTTGGAAACGAGCCAGTTAAGTTATTTTTATTAAATTATTTGTCTTGTACTGATCTGCATTGATCACATTTTTATAACCAGTTGTTATGCCACCACAGTCTCCTCACATTTTTTAATTTAAATGGTAACAATCAGTCGAAAAGTATATATACCATTTAGACATGTGCTCCAGCAATTATCTTTCTTGGCAAAATTGATCACTATAAATAAAGCTGTAAAAAAAGTTACTGTGCAAGATTAGAAACAAATTACACATATAAATTCCATAAAGAATGAATAGGGACTACCAGCAATAGCTTCTCAATACTTTTTTTTTTTTTTTGTATGTGAGCATTTAGTTGCCAGGGATTGCACTTCATCATTTATTTGAATGTGGATAGATGTTCCTATGACAACTAACATTATTCAAAGATTCTTGTTACACTGCAATATATTATATTAACAAGTTTAATATCATATTGGCAAGTTCTGGTTTTCAGTAATGTCTTTTGAAAAGCTTACAAATATGACAGATGACTGCAAACACAGAATTCCCTCCCTGATTTTCCATTTTCTGCTGCCAGAAAGGCATTGTATTCAGCGAGCCAGAGCATTCTACCTGTTACAACTCAACAGAAATAACAAGAAAATAAAGATTTCAAAAACTAGACTTGATTTTTGCTTCACTTTTTAAGAAACCTGTAAACCTCAAAGAATTAATGATTACTTGGTACCATCTGCTAGCAATTAGATGGTGAAGTCATGATAGTCCCACATTATGTCATGAGTATATACGATAATACAAATCCAACTTATTCTCAAATCAGCTAAGAAAAACAATAGCAAAATTATTTTTCTAGGTAGGTAACAGTTCTACTCAACAGTATCTACTTGAACCATAAAGGTTTGACATCTGTGGAAGTAATTGACTAATCATTTCAGCCTTGTTTACTGTTTAAGCATTTTTATTATTTTCTTAAATTTATCTGCAATTACTTTCCAAATTATGTGTATTACAGATTGTACACAGCTGTTTTTAATATACTCAGTATCTTTTACATAATTAGAGTTTTTGATTGAAGATATAGATGACATTATTATTCATAGTCATGATGAGGAAAAAGTAACTTCCAGAATTTTTTCTTGTATATACTATTCCCTAAAACTGGCTTCAAATTTATTATTGCAAAGCTGCCTCTAGTCTAAAATCTTCTTGCCTGCACATCTGTCAGAGTATCCACAGATAGAGTGTAACGATGGCAGAATTCTTTGTCTTACTAAAATACCTGCAACATTTTAATCTAGTTAGATAGCTCTAGTAAAGAGAAAGCCCCTTCCTGAAAGTTAACTTATTATTTCATGTTTATCCACACCATATTTAAGCCATTTATGGCAAAACCATATGAATTTGCATTTTAGACATCAATGATTAGTTTTTAAAACTCGGGGGAAACTCACATGAAGCTAAGGATGTTATACCCATGGCTGTTCCAACAAGAAGTCACAAGAAGGTTCAGTGAAGTCACCAAGAATTTTGCTTCCATAAAGATTTCAGAAGTTGGCCTGAATTAAATGTGTCTGTTCACAACATTATCTCATAAAGAACTTAGTGAAAAGCTACCACCAAGCATAGGTGGATCTGGACTTTGTGGCATGAACTGAGCTCATTTCTTCTTGGAAGTTACATCTGTGTTACACAACAGAGTGCAGAGCAGAAACCTACGGGATAAATCCTTAAGCCCAGACAATGCTCCACCACTCAGAAATTCTAGCTGTCGGCAGAACTGATTAACTCGATCCCAGCATCACTGACACCTGACTTGGTATCTCTGCGTAAATCCCCATTGCATTGTATAGACATGGTCAGTGATACTAAGGCTTCTGTCCACTGGGGAACTTCAGTCTATGTCCTGGGCTGTTCCAGAAGTAATTGGATGACACAACTTTGATTTCAAGACACACACACACACAAAAAGAAACCACTGGCTATTATTTTCCTGTGTTTCTTTTTCTGCCATTACGGGGATGGACGTAATTATAGAAATGAACTGAGAACTTTCAGTGAAGGCAATACAGTAATAAAAGGAGCATATGAAACTTACCCTGTTATCTCTTCTAGCAGCCAGCTTTACTGCTTATATCTATTTCTTGCTTTCGAAAGAAAGGTAGTATTGTGGGAAGAATCATGTCTTTAGAGCAATTTACAGTCTAAACATTATGAAAAATCAGACAAAGAAAGCCTAAGAAAGACCTGCCTGGACAGCCAGGAACACAGTACTGCCATGTAATAGAAGATGTTCACGGAAAACTGTTGTGCAACTGATAGCAAATTATCAGATGAGAGTTTTCACCAGAGGTTTTACTCCAGTATACAGTGTGCCTTCATCACTACTTATTTTGCATGAACAACAGGATAAAGAAGCTCTGGGTGCTGGCTGTAATTCTACCTTGCTGGGTTAAGTTGTTCAAATGTGTCCAAAGGCCACTGCTCAGAACCATACTCACATCGAACTCTGGGCGCTCCAGCACAACTGGATGCTCAGTAATCCAGGATGGGTCTTCTGCTGTAGGGTGTAGTATTTCTTTCACTGTGGAAATATAAATACTTGGGATATAAAGGCTGTAGTAGCAACGTGAGGAAGTTGTTTTGGAAGATTGACTGAAAAACCCTCCCCTCACCTCAGATTTGTGAGTAAAATCTCTTCAGAAAAGTTTCCCAGAGAGATTTTGTTTCTGGAAATGTCCCCAGATCACTTACAGGAAGTAGAGAGGAAAGATGAGAACAGAGGGTGGACAGCACTCCTCCAACACCTCTAGCAGGATTGTTGAACAGTCAACAATAAAGCAGGTATTTCCTTTGTGTGCCAACACAGAGCTACTAAGTCGAAGGTCATCTTGGTGCAACACGCCTGATGTGAACCACATTTCCCCTTCTATTCCTGTTAACTGTTGAAGTATTACTGAATTTCCACATCCCAAACCTTGGTGTCAAAGAAAAAAAAGGCTAATCTACTGGATTAAGACTGGGGTATTACTGCTGATGACCTGGTTAAAATAAAACTGAAACAAGCTACAACACATTTGGTTTTGTTGCTTCTTTTTAATTATTCAGAGGGCAGCTGAATAATTCACTCATCTCTGAGATTTATTTCGTAAAACTTTAGATGTGTGGCCCACCGGTGCATCATAATTGATACCCACCGTTAGTAAGCTGGAGAGAGTTAGGGTCTAAAGACAAGGAAGTGTTTTCAAGCAAGGCATTTTTCTGGAGGATTTCAGCGATATAATCTCGGAAATCACTGATGGTGTACACAACTGTTGGATTATCCTCTATGCCCATAAAGGAGTTGTCCTCCACTTTGTTGGAATGAAGGTTAATCAGGTCCCAGGTGGCATTGCTGATGGCTTTTCCGTCAAATGTAACAGCGTAGCGAACTTCCACCCCACTTCAGTTGTACAAAGAGAAAGAGAATTCAGAGGAGAGATACAAGGTTTTCCAATGTGTAGCAAGCACTATAATTTTTTTTTCTCCTGAGAACTTACGTCAATACCTTATTTTAATATAAAAAAAATATATTGCATTTAAGGATTATAAATAAAACCAATATCATTCTTTTCACACTTATGTCTGCCTGCCTGTGCTTTCCACCACTGCAAAGTTCTCAAGTTCTCAAGGACAAGCCTACCAGAACCTGACATCTGGTCTGGTCCCAGCCTCATATTTATACTAGTGAATGGTAGACAGATCACAAGCAGACCAAAACGGTGGCTTTCTGCCAGCATTATTAATGGGTCTGCTGGCATGCAGTGGTGTGAGTGATGATTTTAAGATTATGCCAATAATGGTAATGGCTCTGAGATATGAAAACAGCCTGGAAAAACAGGCTGTATATAGTAGCAACGTACAGTAGCAAGAGGGAGCCCTGATCACTGTCACTGTGCAGTGTCAATCTGCTTGAAATTATGTCTTTAATACATCGTATGATTGGGAACATTTTTCTAGATTTATTGATTGTTTGTTCCTTTAAAAAGTTTCGTATCTATGTACAGGTCAGCTTTTTTTATATTAATTCTCCTCCGTTTTCTTAATTTTCTTTTCTTGAATGTGTCTTTTCCCATACAACAGCATAGGTACTGATCAGATTTACCATACACTGGGCAGAAGCACAAGGGAGCTTTAGAAAATATAAAATATTTTGGCTGTGCGCAGGGCACAGCAAGAAAATGAAGTAATCTATGAAGTGTTAGAAAAATGTGCTCCAGAGACAGCTTTTCCTCATTGCACAGAGCTGGACTGGATCGCTAAAGTAATGGCTCTGTTCAGAGAAGTCTCTAAGGCCCCAGCGCCAGATACAACAGAAACAGAATCGGCAAACACACTGACTAAACCCTGGAGTTTTGCTGCTGGCTTTATCGTTGAGATGAGCCCACCTTAGGCTCACTGTTGGCACTGTCAGCAGAGGAAATAAAAGAGAACAGCAGTAGTGAAAAGGCACAGCAAAGGCAGAATACAGTAAGCTCTTCAAAAGTAACATTTAGATTTAACACAACTGTTAATAATTCCTAACTAGTAACTCTACCACCATCATCTGTCTGGGAAAGGCTAAAACATCTGGTACTTGGAACATAACCTTTGTGAATCTTAGCCTGTGGAAGCGCAGAGTAGCAGAGGATGGCTTTAAGTCACTATTGTTTGTGAAGAGGTTCGTTTTTCCTAACCTTTCTTCTAAAATTAGACTGCTCATTCTCTGTAAAACTGTGGAAACTGGTTACAGCTTTGCTGACAAATACACAAAAGAAAATAATACTTCTAGCAAGTTAGAGGCTGTGGTTCATTTTCTGTCTTGTGAAATTCTTAAAATAATAATTTTTTAAAAAATATTTAAAAGAAGTAATATTTGCATGCTTGACCTGCATACATCTAATAAAAACCAAGTCCAGACTGATCCCATATTCTGCTAGAGAATGTTTATAAGACTACTGCTAAGATGTGCAACACCCCGGCCTTGAAGCAGCTAAGTCAACTGTCTTTGCTGGAAAACTACGGTTTTGTTACCTACTTTAATGACTATAATAATAATTATCCCTTATCTATCCAAGACTTTGCAGCAAAGTATAAAGACCTTGAGTCATTGTTAAGCAATTTTGTTTTCTTCACAAAAGACAATCCTATATACAAGTTAGCGCAGTAGCTGACTTGTGTTTAGGAAGGTTTTCCCCAAGTAGTTTTTTATGATTAGGACTTAAATAAGCAAATTAGGTTTCTCCGTAATCAAAACAGAGCAGTTACAGTTTCTGGTAGAACCCCCTCACATAATATTTATGCTGGATAACTATCTCGCTCTGGAGCCAAAATTACAAATCCCCAAAACAGTGCCCTCCAGCTAAACTTGTTTTTCCATCTGTATTCTGATAATATGTATTAAAAAGTTGTCTTTACCTGTCCTCCTCAGGAGAGCTAAATATAGAAACAAAACAAAACACAACAGCAAAACCTGTTAAATCAATTTTATAGTTTCCTTTAAGCCTTCTAACTTTCAACAAATATGCTTTGGTATTCTACAGGGCACAAAAATTTGAAAAAGCTTACAGCAACATGGTTACAAGCTGCATAGTTACTCTGCTACATAACAAACTGTTCTGCTTTTACTGAACTGAGACATTTCCTATTGATCACAAGGAATCAGCAGCGCAGAGCCATCTCATCTTACTGCAAATAATGCAGTTAAATTGCTGTCAGTACCAAGAAAATCAAAGCTCATTAATTCTACCTAAAAGGTTTAGTTTACAAACATGTTTTCTTTGTCATGCACAGCACAGCACAGAGCCCTGGTATTCTGCCAGAAATATCAACCTTTTATTTGTGTTCTTAAATGAACTGAGAGCTTGCAAATGTATTAGGCTGCAAATATTGAGATGGAAGGTTTTGCTACCTCCCAGGCTGAGCCTCGGCAGAGTTTCCCTTGTCATTACTCCAGTTTGCTGTGGTTCTAGCAACAAATCAAAGTAGGAACTGAAAAGTCAGACCTGCCTCTGGGCTCCTGCAAGGGCTGAAGACAGTGGCATTCCGTTTCCCTTGCTGACACAGGGATAACTATTATGTATCTATGAACTAGTTTATTAGGTCAGGTAATTATTCTCCTGTAGCAGGGCCATGACAAAGTGGAGTTTGCCAGTCCATTTGCACAATTAGCACTGGGAACCTTCCTGTCATGTTGTTTTAAACATTTAATAATTTCATTTCTATACCATCCTTTTTTGGTACTTCTGACATTGTTGGAACAACCTCACCCCTCTGTGTGTGACAACTGCAAGGAAACGAGGCATGACAAGGACAGTTTGTATGCTGTAATGAGAATGTGGGGGGTAAGGTGGAAAATAAATGCAGTTTAGGGTTCCAACCATAAAACCTTTCTCACTATAGCTGCTTTGTTACTTGCATGTATTCTGGCTAGAATGTATAGGCTGGAATATTAGAAGAAATACAGCTTACAACATCTCAGAAAACACAATTTAGATTGACTCATGAACTCACTAGATTCTGAAAGTTATATCCAGTCCATTCAAGAAGAACCATAATTTCTGACCCATGTACCCCAAAACCCAGACATCAGATGTTTAACGCACAATACAGCATCCCCCTTTTTCCCAAATTAACTTAAAATGTCACTCTGAAGCACTAATTGATTTGAGAAACTAGTCTTTAAAAATATTTGTAAGAATAAAGAGAGTTATAATGTTACAAATCATTTATCAAACTATTCACTGACCTTTGCTTTGATCAAAGGGAAGAAGATCTTTACATGTCTCAAACACCGACTTTTAGACTCATCCCAAATTAACATTAAGAAGTTGGGAAAAAACTTAATACACCACATTTTTCCAAAAAGATTTCTGTGTTCTTTCTCGTTTAATATTAGGACACGTCAACGGTATTGAAGAAGTATCAGATATTAATTTTAAATTAGAAAATAGCTCTTTTAATTTTAGGACAGAATCTTGAGTAAAACTGCCTTGTCTTAAATGCGAGGCAAGCACATCACGTGAGTTTTCTGGTGGATGCCAGGAGCAAAACGAGAAGATTATATTTACATGCAGTTCTGTATTTCTGTTTCAACCTCTGTATATAGAGGTACCAAATATGAAAGCACTTTAGTTAATAAATCCTAGGAACTCCCACGCGCATGCCCGCCATTTTTCCAAGAGTGGTGCTAGCATATTGCACCATCATACACGATCAATTTCCATCACCACGTATGCATCAGTATTTTTTTACCTGTAATCCAGGACTTGGATGTTTTTGTATCCAGGTAGTCCTTCAAATACGCTTTCCATCTATTTTGAGAAGAAAACAAAAAATTACCACAGATTTCCTCTACCCTACTTATTTAGTGAAATATCAGTAAGTACTTCCAACATTTCTAAAAATGTATCTGAGCTGTTATAGCGAAGATGGTTGAAACATAGTTGAAAATTCTCTCTCTTTATGGAATAAGAGTTATGATGTCATTGTTTCATTATCAGAAAAGGAAAAGAAAAAGTATGAAGAACATCCAGCATCCCCCAAGAACTATATAGAAACATTCAAAGCGGAGGAAATTGAAACAGACTCTGCAGATACCTCTACTGCCCATAGCAGAGTACATTCTTTCATTTATGCAGCACAAACCAGTCTCTGCTCAAAAGGTTTCCACTAGCTCCCAAACCTCTGGAGTCAAATGAATTCAGGAAAATGCTTTGGACCTTAGAAACTTAAACAAGAGGAGCAGCGGCTGCCGTAGGAACAGGGACTTCTTCGACTCCAAAGAGGCACTAATACATTACACAGTGCAAAACATGGCTCATCTCCGCTTCCCTAAACATACAAAGGGCTCAGGAGTGACTGGCAGTGCTACTCAAAAAGAGACAACCGGGAGCAGCAAGATGGCAGCAGATCCAGGCCTAATTCAGCAGTCAGCTGTGCTACACAAGACAAAACCAAGAAATAGAATATTGCAGGTTCGTGCCTGTTTGGGGTTGGTTTTTTTTCTCAAAGGATCCTTGCCAGATGAGGATTATTTTTTACTCCTCAAATTCTTCTTCCCCTCCCCAATCTCCCTATTTTTAAACTGTCTCTGGTGAGACTTAAACAATCAAAGTGCTGCTGACTTTCTTTTTTTCAAGAGCTTCTTTATCCAAGCACAGAGAAAAACCAGGCAAGGGATCAAAGGAGTGGAACATCCATGTGCCAGGTGGACTCTGTCCCATCTGACATTTCTTCCACACACACACACTATGGCATGGCTACTTGGCCACACAACTAGGAAAATTAAGATGTCTAGCCTACGCTAGCAACTTGTGACAGTTGTGGTGATGCTTTTTGGCTGCAGTGAGGAGTACATCTCTTTCCCATCTGGCCCAGGATCTGGCACAGGGTTAGCCCCAGATTCAACAAAGAACCCCAACTAAAGGGGACTAAGAAGGAAGCAAAGCTAAAGAAGAGATAAACTGCATGATGCCCCACTGCATGGCATCCTAGAGGCCTCTCCCAACAGAGAGGAAACACAAACTCTCTGCCCCAAGAAACAATGGTAATAAAATTGCAAGTTTGAGAGCGTGGGCAGGCTGGTTTGCTAGGACCCTCAAATGACCTTTTTCGTTCCCCAGTTTCAAACCAATTACATTATGGAATTCAAACTGGACAACGAGATTAGAAAGCACTGAAAAAAACTCTAGGCAGACTGGTCACTAGACAGATGTTGAATATATCTTTAAGATTTTTCAAGTCCTAAAACTAATGAAATTGCATCAAGAGGTGAACAAGATTCTTGTCACTTCTCTGAGTTTAAAAGCTCTTCTGCGGTAACGCTGACAGGGAGAGGTACTGAAAAATTCTGAAACAATGGCAAGGACAATATTAATCCTGTTAGAAGTCTTTAAAACGCTAAAAGAAATGGAAATGTTTTTCATTTATTAGTAACATTTGGCTTTGTTTCTTTTGCTAACATGAAGCAAAGTAAATTAGTGAAACCGGAAAAGAGAAGAGAGGGTGAGAGGAACAGTCTTTCAGAAAGGTTCCATTTAGACTATGTCTGTATTCAGAGGTTCAGCATAATTTTCTGATCCTCCCAAAAGCATACTTTTACCTCTTTGGCTTGCAAAAATGGTACCCAGGCTATTTAATGAAAAACAAAAAGAAAAATAGAGTAATAGGTCTTTGGCAACTGGTATGCTACACACAATGTATGACACTGCTACTTCAAAAAGGGCAGCACGTCAGGCAAAACAGAGTATTCTCATAGTGGGTGTGTATTCTCCAGCAACAAAAGCTCTAAGCTGGTCCTGCAGAGCCCATGAAAAAAAGGCAATCCCAACACGGGTGCTACATGCTACTATTGCTTTGCAGAGCCAGCAAAAAGGAAAAGGCAGTCAGGGAAGGTAACCACCTGAGAAATGAATTGTTCAGAGAGCAGCTGACGCTTCACGGTGGCTGGGTCGCTCAGCTCCTCACTGTACTTTTCACCAACAATCAAAATGCTGAACTCAATCATCTGCTCAGCTGCAGCTCTCGCTATCTTCTCATCCTGCTTCTTTATCTCATTATTGATCTGGGAGGGAAGGAAGAGAGAAGAAAACAAGAGGTGATTTAATACCTTTTTTTTTTTTGTTTTGCCCTTTGGGTTTTTTCCAATAAATAAATCCTCATTACTCAGCAGACACCAGATTCCTACCTATCCTCAATTTACTCCATGTAAAAAGCATCCCTAGATATGTATATGTACATATGGTCTGCCATCTGTCAAGAACACATTGCATCCCTAAGCTTGGGTCCAAACATCTTTCTTACGTGGGCCAGAAACTTCTCCAGCTGCTGCAAACCTGGAAGCTTCTCTGGCTCTTGGTGGGGCAGAAAACCCGAGCCCATTCCATAAATGTTACATGGACAGGAACACCTCAGGGCACTATGGTGGGTGACGCTGATGGTCATGGGTGTACTTAATGGCGTGTCAAAATTTGAATCCAAAGCACAGCATGCTGACTTGAGGCATCAGCATATCTGTTCTCCTTTGCACTATGATGGGGTGCTCATGAAGCCTCAGGGACAGAGGCAGCAACTAATGAAGCAATCTACTGAGCAAGAACATTTTTTGAGAATTTTTGGATTGCAGATAGTTCTATTTTCCATTTGCATATCTTTACTGTAATGCAAGGCCATCTAGGTGACCTCAGCTACAAACAGAAATCCAGCTGTGTGGGAAGTTCATGAAGCAACTTAAAGTACAACTCTGGATACAGCAACAGATCACTTGCCCAGTCAGCAATAGGCTGATTTACCAAAAATAAACTAATTTATCACAAGGCTCCTACTTACTATTCCACCTGGAAGACAAGTTATCTTTGCCAAGTTCTACACTCAGAACAACACCCTGTGTTGTTCAGCCTCTGTAAGTGAAGGATCCTCCCAGATATACAATGGATACTGGGAGACCTGTGGGGACCTCTGCTAAGTTAAACTGGTGGGCTTCAACTGAAGGGCCCCCACAGCAGTAGCTGTGCAATGCATCAGGGAAGGGTGCAGCTATCATGGATGCCACAGGCAGCAGTGAATTCCAAGTTTTAATCTAATTTGAATGACTGAGCAACACAGGAAAAACACTTTCTTCTTAGTTCCCTAGTATTTTACAACCAGCATACTATTCCTTGTGGTATACTGAAAGATATGAGAAAAACCAGATCTTGTTTCATGGTTTTGTTTTGAAAGAAAAGATTGAGATTTGTGGGAGAGGGAAGGGAAGGCTGGCTTAAGTTAACTTTAGCCAAATAGCCAAATGTCTTTGGCTACTTACATGCAGTTGTTGCAAAAAGTAAAAAAGAGAGCCAACAAAACAGACCTTCTCAGCAAAACTGCAGCCTGTTTTATGTATGGTACAGGAAATGGAAAAACCTTTCTTCAGAAAGTATAGTCGCCACCAGTGAGCAACTTATACATTGTCTAGAGACCCTCTAAAAAATTTTAGTTAAATTCTCTTCCTCCCCCCCATCCCTTTTATACTAGGTAACTAACTCTGCTGTGGAGTGTGACTGCTGTACTCACTACTTAAAGCTAGTTAGCGTTCGAGAGATACGTGCTTAGCAGGCGTGTAAGTGCTGCTACCATATGGCTACTTGCAACATGATGTAGTTTCAATCAGTTATCAGTCCCCCAAAACCAAAAGTACAGTCAATATATGACTGCAGAAGATGAGCTTTGCTCACTCTTGGTCTTGTAATCTGCAATGCATTTTGGCTGCACAGAGCAATGATGAGGTGTGATCTAACTGTATGGAGTGAAAACACCGTAGCAGCAGCAATCTAATTCTGGTTTCTTTCTGATTTACTGAGTGGTCCTATTCTCTGCTCAGACAGAAATACTTCAGACAGTTCTGTTTCAAAAAAGAATAATGGTATACATAGGACCAAACCACAAGTGTTCTTGGTACATAATATAAAGTCAGACCCTGGACTCGAGTCAGAAGCTGTCTGCCTGTTTCATATACAGTATTTATTCTTGGAAGCACGGTATCAGAGCTCCACAGTCAGCCTCAAAAGCTCTAGAAGAAAGTACAGTTTGGCCCAGCTTTGTTTCATGGCCATACTAGGTTACAGAACAGTGCACAGTTAAACCCAGTACCATAAATCAGCTTCTACTTATATGCAGCATGTGCAACTTTGCAAGCTTCTCAGTAAATCCGCTGAGAGTTTCACATTTATAAAAAAAAACAAAAGCCAGTTGATTCATACCACTGGTTTGCAAAATTTTCTTCACAAATACTGCAGTTGGAATCTAGAATTTGGGTTTAAATTTTAATCCAGAGGAGCTGTTTCCTGGAAGCAAGTACTTCCCTGGGACCTATGCGGTGGTTGGCACTTCTGAAGGCCAGCTCACTTTTACAGAGATGTTTTAAGGACTTGATGTAGGCTTCCCTGTGTTGGGAGTTTCATTTCAATATCAAGGCAAAGGTGATAAGCAAAGATGATAAACAAAAGTTCATGTATGTCAGCAGAGGAAATGGACCAGAGAATCAGAAGGAAGCTTCAGGGCTACCCAGGCCAGCTCTCAGCTGTCCTACACATGGACCCTCAAAACACTACTATAGCAATTTAAGGTGTATTGTCTTCCCATAGGAATAATAATGCTCCACATTCTTCTCGGAGCTTTCAAAAGCCCTAGGCATTCCCTGTCTAGTCCTATGGCACTAGCAAAATCCTCACCTGATTAGATCAACTGATTCACTCTCTCTCACTGTGGGGGAAGCAGCATTGCAAAGTCTCTGAAAAATACCTACCCAGAAAATTATTTTAGAGCTTAAAAAAATAACCCAAACAATCTTGCCCTACTTTTATGAAATCTTAATTACTGTTAACACACTATGCTAACAACACCTTTAAGTACTAGGAAATGCAAATGACCACAAACAGTATTATTAGGAAAGGCAACAGAATGCTGAACCAGATAAAAAAAAAAAAACACCACTCACAGTAATGTCTGCATCTTCGATCTCATGAATAGTAACGCCCACAGGACTCTCAACAGATATCTCATGAGGTGGGGGAACATTGGCAGCTGCATCTGAGTTTGAAAGAGAGCAGTATTATTTTGTTGAGGTTTTTCTTTATACCCATGTACATGTAGATAAACACTGCAGTAGCTCAGCAAGCATAAACCAACAGTAAAATTCAATTCCTATTCCCATCATCATGACAGAAACAACACAGGAAACACCTGAACAGCCTGAGGAAAAGTGTCAAATGCACTAATAAGAATAAAATGTTAATCTTCTGTTTTAGCAGATGTGTTTTTGGGAACATGACGTTAAGTGCGGGAAAAAGTACACAGAACTAATTTCTCAAGTAGGATTTCCATGATTCATCCAATAACAAAAGAATTTTAGCATATAACATGATCTCCAGATCACAAACAGCATTATTTGAGATGCAAGAATTCACAGTTCTTTCTCAAATCCAACCACCATCAAATTTCTCAATTTTATAGTATTCAGAATTAGCCTGGAGTTAGATGAAAACTGACCTCTCAATGTGGTAACATCAGCATCTGAAGCTGGAGTTGGAGTCCCACTACTGCTAAATAAAAATAAAATCAGAAATTAAAGTTTGACATGGTGAGATAGATTTATTAGTTTTTAATTTATCTGTGATTCTGCTGCCACACCAAAAAGCATGTTTGAGGAAGAAATTTATCATGGTACGGCTTTGCTGGTAATTTCATAAAAACTAGGCTTTGCAATATTTCAGTTATTTTTTGCAACTTAGATATTGGATCACTGGCATCACACAACCCATCATATGTCTCTCCAGGCTGCTAACCTCTTTATATTCCAACTGACTTGGAGTCCTCCCCAAAAATACATTTTGCCTTCTAGCAGTTCTGTAAAGGAAGCAATTATGAAAACCAGAGATAAAAAACAAAGATAACCTGTGATATTCTATAAAATGCTCAGTTTTCAAAACACTCTCCAGTATTTTAAATACTCCAGTGTGCTAAAACATCATAACCATACTGAAATCACCACAAAAAGATGGGTTCTTATCATGACTTTTACCCTGCTTATTCAGAAATCTTCAAAATGCATCAGTTTCCAAATCCAATTATAGCATTCACACACACAAAAAACAACTCTAGGCCAAATGTGAAAAAAAAACAAATCTCAGGTAAAAATCAGATGAAGGCTGTCAGCCTGAAGAAAAACTTTGACATGGCTCTTACAGTAAACTCAAGTTCCCTGGGGCCAATTGTGTAAGCCCTGAGCAACTGTTCAAGTTACCAAGAGTGGGAGACACGCTCTGATAGAAACAATTCTTTCCTGAATGAAATAAGAAGTATTTTTCAGGTTTGTTATACTTTATTATATACAGCCCAATCTGTAAGATTGGAAATTTTAGTGATGGAGAGAAACTGAACTTCAGAAAAACACTGAAGGTCACTGCACTGAGATATTTCTGTCACTTCTCGTGGAACTCCTTTTTTATTGGTGGTCATACCTGTGCCATAAAATAAGCATTGCAGCAATGAGAAATGTTATATATGTGACCACTGATACTCTGTGAGCCATGGTTCCTAGCCTTGCCAGGTCTGATTTTTGATTCACATACAACGTTACTGGTCTTGCAATCTGTCCTCAAGCAAAACTCCAGTCAAAGACAATAGATATTTTACCTCCTTCAGGACATATAATCAGTATCACTCCAAAAAAACAAAGGCTTCCAGCACTAGCCAGACAACCAGATCCAAAGTTACTTACAAAAGATACCAGGGCACAAGTATATGAGCAAACACATAATAGTTTCACTGAGTCAATGTCTCAAACTCTGTTTCTTCCCCTGCCTCTCACAGACACTTAACACTCGCAAATAGATCTGAAGACAAATCTGATGAATTTTCTATTTAAGTCAAGAATCTTTTCACCCATCCTTTCTCAGGAGGCACATGCTAATGCTGCATGTAATGGTTAAAATATAGTAAGTTCAAGGAATGTTAAACTGGCTGGCTGAGATCTACATAACAATTATAGAATATTAATGAAAAATAAAATAACCTGCAGATGAACAAAGCAGCAAATACTTATTCAAGAGCTTAAACAGAACCTTCATATATTTTCGTGAAGAACTAAAGTCCATCAGCTCTATGCAAGCTTTGAAATGTACAGTTAGTTGCGTCTGCTTCCATCTCGTGGACAGTGCTGCCTGCTTTCAGCCAGCACAGTGCAAGATAACTCTCTACCGATTCTTTGACAGCCGCAGTAAATCACCTTGGAACGGTTTCTGAGAGTGGAAAGCCAAGTTTTACTAGCAAGTATAATTTAGACAAGATATCCTCTCTGCCATTGCCATCACACATACAGAGAGTCACAAGTAACTTATTCAAAAACCATCAACTTCTTCCTGCTAAAAAAAAACTAATCCAAAATCCCACATTAAAAGGATTTAGATTTTCTTAAGAATGCTGGTTATATTTTAGAGGGATCTAGTTTCCTTCTTATCATCTTAGAACTCAAATAAAAACTATTGCTTAATTATTTATTGGTAAGATGAAACATTTTCCAGCGAAATTCCATCCCTAACTCCAGGTGATGTGTTACTCTCATCAATTTCAATAGGCATTAAATTACATCTATACCAGAGTCTCACCAAATTACAGCACCAGCAAACAACGCATTTTAGTGCATCATCTTTAATTATGGTGTATTCAAAATCAAATATGATTCTACTTTTAGAAGAGGTGAAACAATTGGGGATTTTACTTACTACAAACAGTTTAGTGTAACTAAGGTCAGAATAAAAACTCAGTGAAAGCAAAGTGCCCTGCAGTGAAACAGGTCTGCTACAGGATTTGTAACCTTCTGTTCAGCTGAAGTGCTGAAACCTATAGATATAAACATCAGCTAAACCTTGTATCGATCCCCTTTTTTTGAGAAAGGGACAGGAAAAAAGGGGATTTGCTTTGGTAGAATAAATTGGGCCTTGAGCTCAACAAACATCACAATAATACCTTTCCTCCACCTTTTCCCAGGCTAAACTTCACTCCTGACTCCAGTGTGGGCCCTGCGTGGGCAGCAGCTCCTTCAGGAAACGTCTATCTGCTCCAGCAGGAGTGTTCCACAGCCTGCAGGGGATACCTGCTCCACCACGGAGCGCCTCCTCCGCCTTCCACCTTGGTGTTCCCTATGCCACACCATTTCTCCTTCTTTCTGTTCCTTCCCCTTCTCGCTGTGCAGTGTTTTTGCCCTTTCTTAAACATGTTTCCTCTGAGGCACCACCGTCGTGGCTGCGGGGCTTGGCTGTGCCCTGGGGTGGGTCGGTGTCTGGCTCAGGGCAGCCCCAGGCACCACATCCCCCCCCGACAGCCCCTGGGCACCTCACCTGGCATCACAAGATCCATTTCAACTAAATCGTTTGAGTTTTTGAAGGAAACAGGTAAGAAAAAAACAAGCAGAATGCTGGAATATGAATCACACTTTCAGAAGAGGAGCGGTTTGCAAATGGAAAAGCCTAAAGTTAGTTTAAAAAATTACAATTTAGCAGACTACTAATTCTAAGTTGGATTACTGGTTATAGACATATCAATATAAAATTCTCCAGGTTTCAAAGGTCCCAGAGTGTTTTCACTGTCCCTGACTCAAACGAGCAGCAGCTGTCCTTCCCACAGGACACTCCACTTGGTGACATCAGCTCAGGCACCGGGCTAGCCACGTGGTGGCAACCACAGGCCAAACCAGGCCACCGGGCAACCGACAGAGCTGAAATGCACATCAGGCAGCAGCACGACACACTCTTTGCCCAGGCCGGGTAATGCGTTCTTACTAGCACTGAGGGATTTTTAATTACAAGACCTCCAGGAGCTAACAAATTTTTTGACAAAATTCCAGCTCACAGCTGGCTGGAAATTAGAAGTCAAGGGCTTAAATAACACCTAGTAAAACCCTAATCAATTTAGCCAGGCAAGAGCAGTCAAGTACTGAATTTGGTCAAATCAACAGTTATCACTTTTTCCCAGGAGGATAAAAATACTGTTTTAAGAAATTGTGCTATAACCAACCTCAATTTATGCACAATGTTGTTTTTCATTGCTTTACTGGAACAGTGACATTTGCTTTCTTTTTGCACCCATTTCTTTTTGCTTTCTACTTCCCCTTAATGTTTAAGTTTTTCAAATGTCCACTTTATTAATCTCCTAAAAAAGCAGCAATATTACTAGGTACCTCTAAGGAAGCCACTCAAAATGCACAGGACAACGCATATACTGATCTGCCTGAACACACTGCTCTTCAAAGTAAACACATTCAAATTTCCCCTCAGTCACATCATTTAAAATATCAGGAATTTTTTTATTTTATTTTTTTTTCACCCCAGGATTAATCCAGCACCCAGGCTTTATTTTTAACTATACCTATACAAGCAAGCTACTCCAAGTGGAAGGACTATTCACTTATTGTGAATTTGAGACACAGACACATGAAATGCAATTTCTATTGTCCTACCTGCATGAGGGATGCCCTGGACCACCTTGGCTGAGCAGTAAGCAAAATATAAAAACATACACATATATATGGAGAGGCAGGAAGGAATATGCACAAGCAGATGTCTAAGCAGCAGAACAAACACTGCACTGTGTTTCCTCGGCAGAAACAACCGGCTTCAGATCACACAGCTCTGTTAGACACCTGGATCCAGGCAGGTGGAAGACAAGACCCACAAGGGCCTCAGAAGTTGATCTGAAGCAAACACTGCTTATGGACAGCCTATACATATTAATACAGCAAACACAGCTCACAAATAGAGCCTACACGTTCCCCTTCTTCAGACCCCACGGTGAGTTCTTCTGTGTGACATCAGTCCTGTCAGGAAAAGACTCGATAGGTTCTAGTCCACCAATGCACAGTGTCCCACTGACCCACAGGCAACTGTAGAGTATAAACGAGTTCTTTTGTGCAGCTATGCCAGGTTATTAAGGAGAAATACCACTCTAGACCTGTCAAAGGGGCATCGGTGATACCATTTCACCCCTCCATGAAATTTTATAAAGGTATTAGTTACATTTTTCTCTACATTCTTCCTCAAGGTTCAATACAAACTCAACTCTGTGGTTGAAGAAGGTACCATCTTCAGATTTGTACTACATGTTCCAGATATCCATCAAGTTTATTTATCAGCTTGAATGTCCTAAAGTCTAATTTGCTATAGCAAGCATTTATTTTTCTTAAACATTATTATTTCAATACTCATATTGTGCAAAGAAATTAAAATCATGTTATAGTCTAATGTTCTCCTTTTTAACTATTTTAATCACACAACCTTGAACTAAGTAAGTATGCAATTTCAGAGGTATTTTTATCCAAGTACAGAGTGCAAGACTGAGCCTTGTATTCAGATTCCTTTCCTTTTAAATTGTACTTGCATTTATCCTAATTTTCATTGAGGTTGTTCTTGAATTTTGACCTCTTGTTTTTAATTAAAGCAGGACCAAGCTTTCATATGTGCAATCTGACAATAGAGAGCACAAAAGAAAATACACATTGAACAGGAGCAGCGTGGAACTCTTCATATGGAGTAAAGCTGTGCAGATGCTCAAAAATTTCTGAAATGAGCAATATTGTGTATTTCAAAGCAGAGAACATGGACAGAAGAAAGGAGTTCTGGACATGATTTATTGTGACTAATTTTGGTGAGTCCAGATTCAGCAAGCACCAGTCAGAAAGGACACATGCTTCTATTGAAGAAGTGAAAAAGCAGTACATTATATCAATCCTCTTCAACTATCCCATACTCCTTATCTTTACTTAAGCATTCGAGCTAGGCTATGACATAAAAATTCTAGCTTCCTACTCCAGCAATTTTGTGCTACTCCTTTGCCTTCAGTTGATTCTCAAGGTCTGGCTTTTGACCCCCTAGGAATTAGACAGAATTCTAATTGAATAGGACAGAAGGCTGTCCTATTGCCATGAGACATACTCCAATATCAAGAGAGCAAAACTCTTTATGCAAAGTCCTAATGACCTACTGAATAAAGCAATCATTAAAAGTCTTTAGCTTAATGCAGTGTTCCTGCACTTCCACCTGGGGCAAAACTCCATCGTGTCCACTGGGCTGCTCTGGATTATGTCCCATATATTACTGTTCCGTTGAGGTTTTTTCCTCAGTGATACTGAAGTTAATCCCTCAGTTCCTTCAAAGGCCGGGGTAGCTGAGCGTTCAGCCTGTGTGAATGCGTGCACTGGTCTTACGGGAACAAACTTCATCCTGCTGTTACGCAACTGTCGGTAATGCCGGATTGGGAGTTATTCTGGGAAGTAAATTACACAAGTACAAGCCACCTTTCCGCAGGCTACACTAAAACTATCCTAGCTTTTAACTAGCTGAAACCAGCTTTTTCCAGTTAGACAGAGACACAGTATTGACATTGAGGTAGGATTATATGAGCTGTATTTAATTATTTAAGTCACAGCTTCAATTCTACAGCTGTTTATAGCTTTCAGCACAGGTTTGCTTTAATCTAGAAAGGTAGTGTAGTTAAAATGACCAACTGATATCAAGGGTCTGACTTCTCTTCCAGATCAGCCCCAAATTAAGGAATTATTTCACAGGAAAAAGAAATAATGCTGAAAGCTCATAAAAAGAAAATATTTTTTTAGCTTCTTGTGCCTGGGCTATGGTCCAGAGAGTGAACCTACTGCAAAATTTCCTATGTTCTTATCAGTGGAAAAACAGACTGAGAAATATGCCTAATGCTAGCCCTCCAACCTGCAATGACTGCTTCTGCACATTCATCAGACAAACTGGTCTTCCCTGGAGGACAAGTCAGAGCACCTCTGTCAGACCCCTGCTTTGAAGCATCCTCTGGAGTAGACTGGCAATGTGGGAGCCTCACCTGAACATCTCATCTGGATACCTAAAGCTGGTGCTTTAGAATAGTCCTGCCATCCCATGAGACAGGACACCAGGCCAGTTCCCTTTCTGACACAGATGGCAATGGGTGGCAAGACAGCCACACTCAAATCACTGCATTGCCCTGCACTGGACCAGCCTCTCTCTACACGTGTGGGTCAGCAGGTGACTACAGCACTGCCCAGGAGCTGGCAGAACAGCACTCCCATCTCCTTCCGTGCAAGAGTGACTTGACACTGGATCTCCCACACTGTGCCTGAAGGACTGGGGTTGATCCTGGGTTGGGTTATTATTCTGACTTCCTACAGAACACTTTAAAAAGGTCTTCATTTTATTCTGATGTGTACTGGGAGGTCTAGTATATTTTTGCAGGAAATAATGTTGTTGGCTGTTCTGTTGGCAATACTGAGATGGCTCGCTCACTCCTCAATGGAAGATGTCTGAAGTTAGGTGAGACATCTTCTACCCTTGACAGCAAATCATGGCTTTGGTTTTATTAGCCCTGGCTTACAAACTTCACATCTTAAACCACGAATGCTCTAAGATGTCCAGAAGGCTCTTAGAATAAGTCTGTGGTTTTGAATATTGCTGAAACAATTTATATTAATTTCTTCCTGATACTCCATTATCTATGCTCTCCTTATGCTAGAAAACACTATCGATCACATCCAAGCACAAGACAAACAACAACTTTCAGTGAAGATATAGTAAAACTAAAGTTTAAACCGATGGTGATAACAAAGATCCCATCCTAATGCTATAAACAATCTGAAGTAATATATACTGGGATAAAAGCAGTGTATTTTTGAGAGTGATGCCATACAGCCCCATAGTGAATTAAGTTGGGTAAAGCTTGCCAGTTGTCAGCTGGACCCCCTTTAATGCCTGTCACAAAGCACTTGATAAGGTGGCATTTGTACAAATACAACATTAATCACTCTGATCCACCTTTCTATCAAGTGTTGGGCTTTTTCCATTGTTAGGTTGTTTAGCCCAGTGCATACAGTGACTCTAGAGTAATTAGTGTTGACTCTTAATTCCTCTCATATATTTCCACATTTACTAGATTTCCTGAATGATCACACAGAGGGATACAGCAGGTTTTGAAACTCAAACTTCTTCAGAAAGGTGATTTCTTTCAGCCTCTGACATTCAAACTGAGATAACTGTATCTCTGAATTCACAGTTTCTGATAAATAAGATGTGGCTCCATTCATGTAAAAACTAGTCTAGAGAATGACTGACAGTTATAAAGAAGATTCAGACCCACAAAGTTTACAAGGACAAGATTACTTTTTTTAAAATTTATTTTCTCTTTGAAAAGAAAAGCATATAAAAGTTTGGTCGATGTTGCTTTCTCAACAGAGAAAGTTCTGAACAGATGTACGCTACGCAGAGCACCTGGAGGCTTCGGGGAGTGCTCATGCCAGAGCAGTGTTCGGCTCAATGGGACAGAGAGAAACCAATCTCTTAGCAATCACTTTTGCCCTTATCATCTCATGTTATTAATTTCAATATATAATGTTGTGGTTATGAACTCATTATGATGTTATCTTATTTGGGAAGTTAGGCTTTGGGTTTTTTTAAGTCTGTTAAATGATTACTCTTCCCAGTACATTAATTACTTGTATTTATCATAGCTTTATGTGGCCTGTAAAGCAGGGAATTGAACCTGCCAGTTTTTCAGATGAGTTCAGCACGGGGTTGTTTGGGTTTGAATTGCTCTAAAAATAACAGCTTAGATTAAATTCTGAGTAGGAATGGAGTAGCAATAATTTTAACTGGTTTTCCTTTCAGCTCAAAAAAGACATGAAAATAACAGGTCAAGTTCAGGTTTGCTTTGAAGCCATAATTCAGACTAGTTTTCATTTTTATTGCCTTGTTAAAAGTGTGAGGAGCCCAAGTGGCCAATTCCCTTGTATACCTTTTTTAGAGTACTCTCTCAAAAGTTTTTTTTAAAAGGCATTTCAGAAACATTCCACTTTATTGCTTGTTGCAATGATGACCAGGACTACCTTAAAGCCTTTGGGAAAGGTTTGCAGGATAACCGGAATGCTAACACAAGTAACTATGGACACATCTCTTTCCCAAAATAGATTTCCCCCACTAAACCTCTTCAGGTAAATAGCCTGCATCAGTGCCCGACGGCCAACAAGGTGATGACATACTTAAGCAAAAGTACAGCCCCAGATTGGCTGAGATATTTTGAGCATGCTAGGACAGCCTGCTAGAGGTTCACATGCAAGAACCACAGGATTTCTCCACCACGCTTTTCTATATGCCCTTTTGCACAAAGGTGAATTTTGTTCATCTTCAGTGCACAAATCAACACCAGCAGCAGCAAGAACTGGAGAAAGACCCAATCACGAGCTTTTAAAAAGGAAAAATCACTCACCCACATGACCAATCAGTGCAGGAGCTGACAAGAAAAAGAGAGAAAAGGTTAAAAAATGTCACAACTCAGCCCTGCTGTTATCTCTCCAGAGAGAATAAAGTGCAAGGCAAACACACTCACCTGCCCATTGCTTCCTTCGTATAGGACAGTTTCTGGAAAACAAACAAAGAAACCAACCCTAAGTATATTCGAGTATCATAAGGTGAAAGGCATTGAAATGCAGTTTATAACACTTTGTTTCCTCCCCTGTGCCAAAATAATTCTATTTTCTTTATTCTATGACCATTTGTTAAATTCAAAATTTATTAACAAAGTCTCTGTTGAAAAGAAAATATGTCCTACATTTCCAAAATACAACCGAAACTGAACAAGAGATGCTGTAAAGAACACCAGGTTTGTCAGAAGATGCTCTGTTTGTTCTGCATTTCTGCATTTCCCTGTGTTGTTCTGCAGGAACAATGTTCTCTCACCTTAGAGGAGGCTAGCAATCAGATCCTTTTAAGCAGCAGCCTTAAGAAATACAGTATTACTTCTGCTGCTTGTTTATAGATTTAAAACCATCTTTTTGAAAGTACAGTTACAGCTCAAAGTCACATAGTAGGGTTAGCCTGATGACTTTGTTTATTGTTATACAAGTGACAGGGACGACATTTTTTCATTTATTGGTGTATAAAGAGTAAGGTAGGGCTACACAGTTCACAATTGTTCATCAAAATTCTTGTGGCACTAGTGCTGTTGGTTCTAGAAATGAGTCACAGGAGTTTCTGTGAGGAACCTCACAAGAAGTGGAAAAAATCCTGAGCAGTTTGCAGCATGATAGCTGTTGAGGAATAATGCTGTATCCTGCTGCTGTACCAATGTGAACAGAATACAAAATATTTATAGAAGACTATTGTCCAGCCACAAAATTTCTGTTTCTCTCTGGTTTGGAGAAAAAAGAGATGGTTTGGTGGTTTGTTTGTTGGGCTGGCTTTCTTTACATAATCAATGCAGATGTATTTTTTTCAGTGGTAAAAATATATACATATTTCACAGTAACCACTCAAGCCAAAGTGGATTCACTGAAATATCTACTTCGAAGTTAAATGACAATAAACTTAAGACATAATATTTCCACTTTGAAAACTTCTCTGCAAAACACCCCTATGTATTTAGTGACTTAAGGACCATCACTCTAAGCTATCCTGGTGATTCTTTTTGTGAAGGAGGAATGAAAAGGCAAAAGACTTTCTGAGCAGGTTACCCTGCTCTTGCTTTTCACCTGTGCTTCTAAGGAAGTCTAGAAGTTCAATTTTTATTGATTCAGAGCCACCCCAGTGACTACCGCTCTCTTCTTTCCAGGACATCTGTGGACAGTAAGTGTGATCACAGCTAGAATGGCAGGCAGCCTGGATATCAGCCCGAGGGCTTGCCAAAATACTAATTTCAGTCAGTTTGCTTTTCAGTATGTCCTTTGGACAGCCTTTATTGTACAAGTCCATTAAATGAACACTTTAGTATGAAAAAGTAAGTGAGACCAGTTTTAAGTAACAAACCAAGAAACTAGCAAGACTAGGTAGTCTTAACAGTGAAAAATCTAACTGTATTGGACTGTATTTTTTCAGGTTTCATTACAGTGCTCTATACAGTGCTTGTACTAAGCTTTAGGGGAGTGGGATCAGCAAGGAAGAGAGAGACTGATCTGATCTCTACAAGCTTTTGGAACGTTACATATAAGCAATAGCCCATATAGTAAAAGATGTTTGTTTATTAGAAAGAGAGACTTTCTTCCCTATTCAGTCAGTCAAGGCAGTTTGTAGCTGCTGTTAAAAACACACATGGTTATTAGGGGCCCCACACGTCTTTTTAATACCAGCTGGTAGTCTGTACCCAGGTTTACTCACTAGTCCACAAAGGCCACTGGCAGCAGAGGTCAGTATAGTCCTGATCATTTCATGCAGTAAGGAAAAGGAGACACCCCAGCGAGGGGTGCCTTGGCCAAAGCTCTGCTGCAGGGCAGCCTGAGGAGCTGGTTGCAGTCAGCTTTCCTGAGCCTGGGTCCCAGGACTTGACCAGTATGTCTTGTTATTTCCAAGTCTTCTTTTCAATAATTATAAAGAGAAATTATAAGAACCAAACCTAAAATGCCAAAGTATTGTTTTAATGGCAAGACCTAGAATAATAACCATGACACACCATCTCCACATCAACATTTTTGAAAAAGGCATCAAATTACTAAATTGTCATCCAATTTTGTAGTAAACTAGTGAGTCCTGCTACTATATGATTGACTTTGAATTTAAACTTACTTCTGTGTGGGGCAGCTGGTTTATTTCTTAATTCACCTAGTTCAGGACGGCATATTCTCTCTTCACTGCAAATCACATCTTTTGTGAAATAACTTTAAAGGATTACATGCTTTAAATGGCTGTTTAAATAACCTGACTTTTCACAGTTCTTTCTTAGACAAAATCTCCCCCTGGATTCAATGGCCTGGACTCAATCAGTCCTGCAGATTGAAATACAAGACTTGCTTTTTTTTATTACATTAAATGTGAGGTTTTTTTCAACTGAGGATGTGAAAATGAAGCACCCCCTCTTGCTAAGCTGGCATGGTCTGCAATAGTTTGCAGTGCGATTGCCTTCCTCTTAAATGTCTAACTTGCATTCCAGTCTGGGGTGGGGGCAAGCACCGACATATTTTAATTTCATAGCAAACAGGCACCTTTTCCCCCTAATTAGAAGCCAAGGGCTCTGGAGTTCCCATACTGGCTTGGTTTATCATTTAGTACAGCACAGCCTTTGCCAAATCACTTCAACTCTCTGGCTCAGTTCCTTCATTAACAAGATGGAGTTATAAACATACCTACCACACAAGGATCTCCAAGGATTAACTAACTTCTTTACCCTCTGAATACTTGATCTATAAATAGTTCTACACAGCAGCAGCAGCCACACCAAAGCTCCAGGGCATGGCTTTTACTTAGTGAAGCTACCTCTGGCAGCTGCTTTGTGTAAAATTAGTTCTCTTGAAGTGAGACCTTCATAACATTTTTCTACCAGCTTTAGGAAAGCTGGGAGCTGAGATTTGTGTCAGTTGCAGCAGTACTTCCTTTTCTCAACAAACCACAGTTAGGTTTAAATAATGGAAAACTGTCACAAATTAATAAAAGTCCATAGAATTAAATACAGACAACCACAACACCACAAACCCCATACAGTACAGACAGGATGGATGAGCTCCTGTCAACTCTTGAACTTGCAGAAAGGCAATTTTATAGGATACTCGTCTGATTCTGAGACAATCAGTATGCACAGAAGACAAAATCTCAGAGATAATTCCAGGCAGGAGAAAAAGGTGGAGAAAATATCAAGGAGATCTTAAACAACTCATATTAGTTTAATCCCATCTGTGTAGGATTGTACTAAACATTTTTGATTTAACCCATCTGTACGCATAATTTCCAACAGGAAAGTTATAAAAGAAATTATTCTCTCTTTGCCTGTCCCGATTCCCCACCATGGTGCGTGGCAGAACCACGTTCTCATGCAGGCAAGGCCAAAGCACTGGGGGAAATCCAAGGGGATGGATGACAATGTCCAGCACTGAAGCTGGAAGGAAAGGCCTTAGCGCTCTGAGGCACAACCATGACAGATAAGATGAAAATATGCTCTAGAGTGCGCAAGAGGAGAGGCAGCAGGGAAAGCTGAGTGAAACAGAAATTGTTTTAACTATGTTCAACTTGAAATAAAAGCTGGAGTTCCATGGTAAGGTGTCAGAAACAAGCTAAGGGTCCAGTCTGTCCAGGAGGAATCAACTCCACAGCAGAGGTGAACGCTCAACATAGAAGTGATTCTTCAGTGTGCTAGGCAGTGCTATCTAGAAATGAGGTGAAAAACAGGGAAAACAAGGAAGAACTACAGTTCTGCAGAGTAAACGAGCTGATCAGACAAGGATGATAAGGATGAAGTATTAGTTCTGAGATCTTTCCAGAAAGAGATGAGCACAGGCCACACTGCTGGCAGTTTCTGTGGTGGGCATCAGAGAGAGACTGAGAAGGAAGATTTAGGCTGTTAGGGGAGGAGAGTGACCAGAGAAAGAATTAACACAGTAGAAGCTTAAGAGATGAAAGGGAGATGGAGCAAGATTCAGAGAAGCAACTGGAATTAATTAACCTATTTGCATACGTGGGGTGAAGGTTATTGGGGTTTTTTTAAGTTTGAGGAAGCTAACTAAAACTTGCAATGCAAAAAAAAGAGCCATAGTCAATAGGAGAAGAGTAAGTGTGGGGATGAGAAAGGGAGTGAAGGAAATCTGACAGAATGGCTCAAAGGATGACAACAGATGAATTATTTTTTTTTTGCATCTATAAGAGGTGGGGGGTGTGAAAGAACAGAGAGAGCTTTCTTCCAGATTTAGAAGAAACTGGAGATGTTTTATGCAAAGAAAGAAACATTACGGTATCTAAGTCAGTGATCAAAAAGATACTGGAAACTGTGATTAGGACATTTGAATAAACAGAGAAAGACTGGATAGCAAGGAACATCACAGAACAGGAAGAGGAGAGATAGCAGGAGAGGTCTTTCTGCCTCAGAAGAGCCTTAGGAAGACAAAATCATCTACCATATGAGGTGGTCAGAAACTATAGCACCAGGAGTAAGTGGCTACAAATTACTCACATCATTGGGGTGCTACATCCCACCTTTGAACACAGCTCAGAAGTCACGGAAAATCATGCATTTTACATTGCTAAGTGGCCATTTCATGCTAAGGATGTGTGTTTTGTTATGCTCCCCATTAAGGCACCCTAAGGCAGGGTTGCCTTCTGCCCCTTTTACCTTAGTCTCCCTCACTGAGCAGTTAGTCGGTGCTCCAAACACACTGAAACAGATACAGCTGCTGATGGGCTGAGAAGAAGTCAATATTAAACAAAAGTACTAGAGTCAACACAATCACAGGTTTTGTAACTTGTCCCGGGAGCTTTTCAAGTTGACTTTTGGTAGGTGGGGATTCCTGGGGAAACTCTGCCTTTTAGTTCCCAAAACTGTGTTACAAACTCCTTTCCACAGCTAACTCTCAGCTTAACTCTCGGCTCCACTAAAAGGTACACATAGCAGAAGTCTCCCTCTTACCACCAACCAACAGTCACACAGACCTGCTTCCTTTGGAAAG